TGTTGGAGCGGGTCCAGAGGAGGGCCACAAAAATGATCCGAGGGCTGGAGCACCTCTCCTATGAGGACAGGCTGAGGGAGTTGGGCTTGTTCAGCCTGGAGAAGAGAAGGCTGCGGGGAGACCTGATTACGGCCTTTCAGTACCTAAAGGGGGCCTATAGGAAAGATGGGGAAAATCTTTTTAGTAGGGCCAGCAGTGACAGGACAAGGGGTAATGGTTTTAAACTAAAATGGGTAGGTTTAGACTAGATAGAAGGAAGAAATTCTTTACAATGAGGGTGGTAAAACACTGGAAGAGGTTGCCCAGAGAGGTGGTGGAGGCCCCATCCCTGGAAACATTCCAGGCCAGGTTGGACGGGGCTGTGAGCAACTTGATCTGGTTAAAGGTATCCCTGCTCCCTGCAGGGGTTGGGCTGGGTGACCTCTAGGGGTCCCTTCCGACCCAAAACATTCTATGATTCTATGAAAACGGCTCCAAGGCTGTGGGGTGGGAGCGATCCCAGCAGCGCTGTCAGGCGGTGGTTGGGGGATCAGCCACGCCGCAGAGCTCAGCGGGGGCATGGATGGAGCAAGCGTCTGCTCAGCATCAGCGGGAAGAGGGTCTCAGTGCCCGGGGGTGTCCCCTGGGACCTGCCAGGACGCGGTGAGCGTAGCCAGCGTCAGCGTCATGTAATACAGCTTGTACCTCTCTTGGGTATCCTTTGCTGTCACTTGTCAAAGCCGAAGGTATCAGGAGAAACTAGAAAAGGAGAGAGTTTTCATCAAAGGCAGCCATGGAGGGCCAGGAGCGTAAATCTTGCAGGGGCAGCGTGAGCAGGGGAGTGGCTTGGACGTTGCCTCTGCTCGATGGTGGGATCAAGGACCGGAGAAGTGTCCTTGGAGGATGGCAGTGCACAGGTACGTGCACATCAGCGGTAGCATGGAGCCCTTCCTCACCAGTGCCATGAGAGCCGTGCTCGTGGCTGGGCTGGCGGCCGGCTCTCCGCAGCGTTACGTGCGGTGACAGGGTGGGCAGAAGCCGCGGCGAGGGGCTGCGGTGGGTGGATGTGGATGGCAGCTCGATCTCTGCCACCGCTCGTCGACGTTGCGCACTGACGGCCTGGCACTGTCTCGTTTGTCGCGAGGTCCGGGCTGGGTTCTCCCTGTGCCAGGATGTTTGCCATCGTACCCGATGCTCGCCCAGGCTTTGCTGCCGGCAGTGGCTCAGGGGCTGCTGCGGAGCCCTGTGCCTGCTGCAGGGGTGGTGGGGGGGAGGAGAAACAGGCATTTAAAAATTAAAGATGGCAAGAAACAGGCTGCGGTGGAGAGGATGGAGGAACAGAACGGGATGACATCAAGAGGCCAGAGGTGACAAACCAAACCCCGGCGCAGTTCCGCCGCACCAGTGACCCACCCAGCTGGAGCTGCCTCTGCGCTCCATGCCCCGCACCGCTTCAAAACACCCTGGGTGCTTCTCCTCTTCCTCGCCGCTAGCGCAGCTCAAACCAAGCGGTGTTGCTGGTCCCGGGTGGTGGCGGTCCCGGCGGCCTGTGGGTGTTCCTGCGCTGCAAGGTGATGGGAACTTCCCAGTCCAAGGCCACCACACAGCCAGCGTGGGGCTGGCGAGGGCAGCGCTTGGTGGCATGTTCCTGGAGCAGTGACCTGAGCGAGGGTCCCCGGGGAGGATAAGATGCAAACGCTGGCTGTGCCGGAGCCCGGCCGCAGAGTGCCGCGGGCAGCAGCCCTGCTTTCTCCCTCCCGTCCAAATGAAACATAGCTGTGGAGCCAAGGGAGCGGGGATCTGCCTTCCCACACCCTCTGCGGCAGGTCCGGCCCCCGCCTCCCCGACACCCACCGACCACCAGAGGGGCTGTGCCACCCTCGCTGCTGTTGCTCACGTTCATTTTGGCTGGGGCAATGCCTTGGAGCCTACTTGGGCCTGGGATAAGTCCTGGGGGGGGGTGTCTCTGTTTGTCTGGGTCCACGTCGTGTCCGTGCCCTGCTCTGTCACCACTGTTGCTGACCCCCACAATCTCCTGTGCCCCGTAATGTCACGCTTTTGAGTCAAACTGCCGATCTCATTGCTCATGATTAATGTCCTTCTTTTCTTTTCCTTGTCCCATGCAAGTAAGCGTGGCCCATTTCGTGTGACGATCTCTGCGTCCCTGCAGAAGTGTCTGTTGGGGATCAGCTTGTGGTCACTGGGCTGGGGAATAGCAAATAAAATGGGACGTGACATTTCTCCCACACAGCCAAGCTGGTAAGCTGCTACGAGCTGGTATTATCTCCAGTTTGGTTCACTTTTTTCTTTTTTTTTTTTTTTTTTTGTTTTTTTTTTCTTTTTCCTTAGATCCTAAAACAGCCACTGAAACAGAAACAGAGATCTGTGCGGAGTGGGAGATAAAGACCATTACCAGTGCACTGAAAACCTACCTGAGGTAAGGGAGAAAAGCCTTGTCTGTCGTGGGGCTTCAGGATGGATTTGGTGATGCTCTGGGGCGTTACTGCCTGTTACTGCAGATCCTGACAACAGCGCTTTCATAGAAACAAAGAAACTGCTCTTAGAGAATTTATTCTGGCTTTTCCCTTGACCCTCCAGCATGTTTGGGTAGGATCTGGGGAACACAACCAGCTCTCTGACAGACCCATGTATCACACAAACACGGTTTGAAAAGCTCATTCTTGCATCCGCTGCCTTGATTTAAACTTTTCCCAAAGCTTTTCCCGAGCGCGTGGCAGAAGGGGAGCATGGTGCTCCTCCCAAGGGCTGCCGTGCTTTTTCAGAACCGGGTGCTGAGCTTTATTGGAGTAATAATTCCTGCGTGCAAGTTGATGCCATCGTCATCGTGGGTTCCCTTCCCAAAGGGTTAGTCCGTTGGCAGCAATCAGCATCTCATTACCCACAACATGCGTCTACCTGTCGCGACTGTGGCTTTTTGCTTGCTGTTGCTGTTCGGTGCGTTTATTTGAGAGAGAGAGAGTGCAAGAGAGAGGCTAAATCCAATTAGGGTGATGAGTGTAATTAGCTTGGTGGATCTCAGCCTAGAAAATCACAAAACACTACATAATTTTGCATGATTGGCAACCTTTGCTCCAGAGTTGGAGCTGTTTGCAAAGCAATGAAGAACGTCGGCAGCTCCGAGATGCCCCATTGAAGGGATGTGGAAGTGGGAGGGGAGAACGGGGAATTTAATGGGAACGGTGACTGTTAAAGTTTTATGATTGGGCTTGTTTCTCTTTTTAATTTGTTTTTAAATTTACGTGGAAATCACGGGCTCACTAATGTACCAACTCTGTGTTACTGAAGGGATGCTAAAATGAAAAATGAAGAGGGGGGAAGAGCAAATCAAAGGCATTTGAATAGATCTTATTCCTTCTGATGGGGAGAATTAATTAGAGTTGCTATTGCTTAATTCTGCACTTCTAAAAATGGAGCTGAACTTAGGGTAACGGCAAAGCTTTGTTTCTGTGGATTGTGTTACTCAGATGTGTTTTGTGTGTATTTGTTACCTTTTTATCTTCCAGAATGCTTCCGGGGCCGCTCATGATGTACCAGTTTCAAAGGAGCTTCATCAAAGCAGCGAGTGAGTTTGTTGATGTTTGTGGCACTGGGCTGAAAAGGGAGCGTAATTTGCAAGCAAGGGAGCAAAACCTCTGCCCTGCCGCTTCCCCGCCGACCTCCTCGCTCTTAAGTCCCGGAAAGCAGAATAAGAATGGAGAGACAAGGGGCATGTTGTTGTTTGGGACTTACCAGATGAAAAGGAACCCCAGATGGGGCAGGGGGAGCGGGGAGCTGGCTGGTGGCAGGAGCTGCGTCTCTGTCTGGTTTTGGCCATCGTCTGGCAGAACGGGGGAGGCCGCTGTTCAAACACCACCTACGGTGATGAGATCCGTTGTGGTTCAGATGTCTGGGCTGCCCTGGGTGAAGGTGCTTTGTCTGAGAGCGGGTAACTCCCCGCTGGCAGCCATGCAGCCTGGGCACCTGCGGCTGGGGCCAGGGACCAGGAGGGCTCACGTGCTCCGTGCCCGCAGCGGCGGTGGCGTCCTTGAGCGGCTCCTGCTTAGGCTGTTGGGGTAGGTCTGCCAGCACCATGGACCCAGCCAGCCTGTTGAGGACCAGATGGTACAGCCTCCCTGGGTGCCGTGCTGAGCACATCCCGACGGTGCCTGGGAGCACATTGAGCAGGAACGCGCCGGTGTTCCCGTTGCTGGAATTGGAGAAGGACTCTGGTTACAGCCGGCCCCTTCCCTGATCACAACTGGCTTTTCACACGGCTGGCATCTGCTCCCAGCTTGCTGTTTCAGCCCGTTGGTTTCTTCCTTTTGGAAACAACGGGTTGGAGTTGGTAGAAAGGGAAGGTGCAGTGGAGAGTATCCGCAGCGTGCCCGGGATAGGGAGCAGGAGCTTTGGGTCCCTGGGATGTCTGTCGGTGTTAATGTTCGGGCCCGCATGCCTTTTTCTGTAATGACCCCCCTGATGCGGAGATAAACCATCTTTTATTCCCAATGCAGAACTGGAGAATCAGGAGTCCAGGGTGTCAGAGATCCACAGCCTCGTTCATCGGCTCCCGGAGAAAAACAGGGAGATGCTGCACTTGCTCATGAACCACTTGGCAAAGTACGTGTATGACTGATATGTTTTTCTCTCCTTTTTCCACTTCCTCTGAAAGTTAATAGTGGTAGAAAAGTTTCCTTGTCTGTGTGTGTGTGGTGTTGAGTCATATCTGGTTGGCGAGTAACTGGAAACCCGTGTGTGAGTGAAACGAGGACTGGCGGAGTGGGGAGGGAGTGAGGGGGGCTTTCCCGCTGACCCACGTCCCTGCCATCCCCAGCCTTTCCGGCTG